AAATCAACCACCACCAAGCCGAACTCAACCACCAAGGCCGACAGAAATTAAGCGGAGAACTAGATCCAACCACCACCAAGCCGAAATCAACCACCACCAAGGCCGACAGAAGATAATCGGAGAACTAGATCGAACCACCACCAAGCCGAAACCAAAATCCAAGGCACGGCGTCGGGGAATAGGGGTCCAGATCTGTTGTGGAGAGAAGAGGGAGAGACGAAGAAACGGTCTCCGTCCCCGTCACCTTCCCAGGCGTCGTCTGAGGTGGCGTCGCAGTCGCCGTGAGAGAGTGACGAGTAACGAAGCGGGAAGAGACGCAGTAGAGAAGAGAGGCTGACGGCGGGTGGAGAGAGAGTGTATGGGGGAGGAAATTGTTCGAATGATTAGGGTTGGGTTGGGGTCAATATCATTTTACTGTATATAGATATAAAAATTAAAATTAAAATTAAAAAATATTTTTAAATTATTAATTAAAACCTGATTTTTGAAATGTTGAAGTTGTTATTGGATTTGTGAAATTGGAAATCTATTTCTAGGGTGTAATTTCCTCTTTTTAAATTGGATCTTAAAAAATATGGATGAGTGTAATTTTTACTTATGATAATTACTTAGGGCTCGTTGGCGTGGCTTTTGAAAAGCCAAAAGAAGCTTTTGAGGCCTTAAAGTATCTTTTGGATCCATTTCGTTAATTTTATAAAATTGCTTTTATCAATTAGAAGAGCTTTTAAAGGAAACTAATTCAATGTAAATTTCTCTAAAAGCACTTTTAGAATAGAAAGTGCTTTTTAAAATTAATTTTCTCCGAACACTCTTTTACAGAAAGTAAAATTCATACCAACGGACCCTCACAATTTGGCATCAAATAAATTTTTTTATGTCATTTTGAACAAAAGTCGTTATCAATTATAATGCTAAAATATGCTAATTAATGAAAGCTTGAGTCTAAGAATGTGACAAAACAATAGCTAGGACATAGGTGTGAATTTTAGTCAAGGTCGAATACCTTCATTGCAATTTAACACATTGTTTGTCATCCATTCTTTTAAAACTCTTTTTTTTTCTATATACCAATTTTCAACCATACATTCGCACAATAAAATATTCTACACGTAAATCGAAAATTTTTCTCTACTTTTTAACCACACATTCTCCAAAAATTTACTATTCAAAACAATATATTTTCCCAGAAAAAAAAAAAGGCAGCCAAAAAGAGGCTAAATGTTTCTCATTGATAAATTAAAAATGAATCTAAATAGTTAAAAGTGGCGTTTGATTTGTTATTTTCAGTTTTCAATTTCGCAACACACCTAAAAGTCGTTGGGTCTAATATTTTTGAAAATGCATTTTCCAAAACAAGATTCAGAGCATATTTGGTTAAACTTAAAATTCAATTAAAATTAAAAATATAACCGTTATTGGGTTCCACTCGTCTAATAAAAGTCAACAATAACGATTAATTTTTCAATTTTAATCTCTACCGAACACTCCTCAATTTACAACATAAAACTCAAAATGTCAAAAATGACATTTTGAGTGAAAATGTTGAAAACAAACATAACATCAGAAAATAAGCGTTTAAATAAAATTTTATTTCAATAAAATTAAAAAAAAAAAGTTTTAAAAAATGAAAAAATCTAAAAAAATATAATTCCAAGAAAATAAAGACTATAAACTATAAAAAATAAAAATTCTAAAAAAAATAAAATAAAATAGTTCATGCTCTTACTGATTGTTCAAATAAATTCCAAAAAAGATATTCAAATAAACATAGATTTAAAAAAAAAATCAGTTCACGTCATTAATTTTATTTTTTTTATTCTTATGTTTCTGTCAACTTAATTTATTATTTGTTGTTATTTTACTTATATAGCAAAAAGAATACCGTAAAATTTGCCCATTTTTAAATGTATATATTACTTGATAACGTATTAATATAAAATTGTTTAATTTTATGAAAACAATTTCTCAACATTTCAAACAAAACGTATTTTATAATTTTTTGTTTTGTGAAACAATTTTTCTGAATAACAAACTCAAGATGAAGAAGACCACACGATTGCTTTCAAGCCGTAAGTACAAGTTTAGTCCTTCCATCACCATATGCCAATCTGAACGAAGACTTAGCTGCCAATAACATTACATGCTGAAACGAATGGATTGATCGAACCTTTTGTAAAAACACATTTATTAATCTATCTTTTTGGAAGTAAGTCCGATTTCTATTTTGATATTATGATCATAAACTCTTGTACTTCAAATAAAATTTTGGAAGTTTGATTTTTCATCAAGTTTTAGCATACAACCCCAATGAACCTACATGTTACATAATTTAGAAGGACATAAATGGAAATACTAATACATGAGTCCGAAAGGAAGTGCCAGCCAGGAAGCACAATTGGAAAATGTGCTATCAAAAAGAGTTCAAGCTTGCCCATCGTCAACATTCCCGACTCTCTCACCGGACAAAGTCTCTACTTCGAGTTGCTCTTCTACTATATTCGGCATATCGAGCATCAGGCAAAATTCAGCATAATCAGCAATCGTTTTGTCCACATCCCAGTTAACATGTTTACCTTTCTTATAATCATTCATAAGAAATGCTCTAGTGGCTATTTCAACTTCTAGTTGGCAATTCTCTAGATGGTCTTCTAAAGAAGCAATCTGAGCCCCAGAAGATTTCTTTAAGTTTGCAACCTCCTCCTCCAAACCCTCAAACTTTCGAGCTTCTCACAAACCATCTCGGCTAACTCACCTATTTCCTTTCGGCAGCCAAGTCAGCATCTTTCTTCCCAACCCTCAAACTTTCGACTTCTCCACTATAAAGTATTTGTGTCCTGCAACGAACGCACCTTTCGACTTGTCTAACAGCTTCATTTTTCTGAAAAA